ACTTCATGTGCCACAATGTAGTCTGTGATAAACATCATGTCTCTCTGACATTATTTAATTTAATTTTAACAGAGTATCAAAATCTAGTTATGTCATTAACAATCTATCTCTTATACAAATAGCAGCACTAATTTTCCATTTGATGCTCTTTTACATAACAAAAGTGCTTAGAAAGCACTTGCCCCTTTTTGTCCTCCTTTTATTTTAAAACAAGTAACAATGAAATTAAGAACTGTTTTCCCTTCAATTTAACACTTTTCTTTCTTCATTTTAACAATCATTTTTGGAAAGTGGGCCTTAGTACTCACATATTGTTTCTTCTCCATAGTGAGTGGGTGTAAATTGCCATTCAAAATTATGTGTTAAATTTTCACAACAGCTTATCTTTGGTGGCAAACATAATTAAAAATATCATTGCCGTGTGATGATCATTCCCTAACAATTCCATCATTGGTCAAAATTAACATTATGTATAGAACTCAAGATTCAGTGAAAAAAATACACGGGGGCTCAGGGCGAAATAGCCCCCGAAATGCCCAAAGAGCCCTCGAAGATCAGAAAAGAGCCCCCATAAATTTGCATAGAGTTCAATGCAAAACAAATTTTAGAGTGTTATTTTTATGCAGGCAAGCTTGAAAAGTAGCCCCCGAAAAAATAAATATTAATTTTTTCCCTGTGAAGATTGATAGCTTGTGTATAAACCCATTTCAGTCAAACATGTTTTTGTAGCTTTTGAGTGGACTATGAGCACTGTTCACATTTATGTTTATCTTTCATCGATTCCATGACATGGTTATTAACGTCCCAATCAATATTTCATGTTTCCTGTCCATGGCCAATATTGTGTATCACGTCTTCAACATGCCCCCGAGGTAGAAAGAGACAGGTTTGCTTCTTTGAAGATGCGTTCCCATTAGCCCTAAGAAGCTCACGTTTGGGGGATAATGGCCTGTTCAGACTGTAGGAAATTGATACAAAACCGGTATAGAAACGTTGTATAAAGCATTGTTGTTCAGCGAAAGGGGTGTACAGACTGGGCAATAATATTTTGTGAGGAAACGTTGCATAAAGAAACTAAAGAGGTCAGTGGTTATGACAGCTGGCTAATCATACGCTTTTTGTATGACATGACGTGCAGACTATAGTGGGTACCTGATTCTTTGATGTGTTTTCATTTGAAAGGATGCTGAAACATGCGTTTCATGCGTTTCATTATATATTTCTTTATATGACAATTTGAATTACTTCTAGTACAGCTACATGTATACAATAACTTTCAGTAGTCTGAACGCGGCACCAGACTTAATGGTGCTTCTGGAGAACAAAGAGTCCAGAATTTGAGTCCTCTGTCTCTTTACCGAGTCGAGTGACTAGAGCTCGCAATAGATATTAGCTTGATCTACAGGATGAGCATATCCACACCACGTCTGTAAGCCTGCTGTTTGGGGCCAAATAGTGCACATTTTCACGGACAAGCTGGAATATGCTTTGGAAAACAGCTCTAGATTAACAATTCGTAGCACACCAATGAAAAAGCCTGCTATTTGCATCTTCTCTGCAAAAATTAGCTCGAGTTACTTGTGATCGGGGATAATTTCCCAGCATCAAAATAAGTGGGCTATATTGAACGTTTGAGTTTAATGAAAAAGTGCCTTAAACCTCTACCCAATGTGGACTGTAGATTATCAGCTTTTCACACGCATGACAGCGCTTCAAGGGACAATTACTTATAAAGTTACCTCTCCTTTTTATATGAGATTTAAATTTGACTTGATGGAATCGTTGCGAAGAGCGACAAATTTGATATAGGATATTGATAATTTGATAAATGCTTTTAGGACAGTAGTGCCGATTAAATGTACTTAATAAGAAGATCTACACTGTTTTATACATTTTTGTAAGCTGACAGTGAAAATGGTAACGTCCACATTGTCTGATGATCTGATATTGATGGATTTCTTGTTTTCTAGCCTGTGATGTTCAAGTTTGGTAGAATACAAGGAGACCATTGAAAAGAGCAGGTGTTTATATCCCTGTCATTACTTTAAACCATCCTCGCTAAGCACTTTACTAGTGCTGGCTAAACATTACTGGTGTGCGTCATTTTGGCATGTATAATATTTATTCACAGTTGTTCATGCTACTGGATGCATGCCAGGTTTTATGGTAATTATTGAGAAGTGGTCATTGAACAGAAAATGAGTCTCTGTGGGTGCACTTTAACACTTAACCGCCATTAATATGTCAGTGTTTCTTAAAGGTATTACAAAGTTTTGGTACGGGATCATGAATTTGGTTCAAATTAACATATTGGAAGCATATGCGTTCCTACAATATTCATTGATCGTTGTCGCGGTTGAAATCGAGTCTAAAGTTATGAAATTATAAATAATAAACTCTTTATGTTGTATAGCTCCATCTCAAGGTCAAGATTTTAATTTAGCTATGAAACAATGTTTCTTGACTAAAATCGACCGATTAGCTAATCCCATTTGGAAATTATATATCACAATTACATATTCTGAGATTTTTATGGTCGCAGCTCCCATTGCACGGCCATAGGCGCTATTTTAACTTTATCAAAATTTACCGGGAGCACCGGTAAATTTTTATATTAAATTTTTCTCGAAAACAGAAGTGTTTTAGGGGCTAATTTTTTTAGTGCTTATAATACATCCACAGGGGCATCCAAATATATCAAAATTGTAAAGATTCACTATCCACCCAATTTTCAAAATTTCCCAAAAACTTTGTATTACCTTTAAGTGTAGCCAATACATCACAGGCATTCAAGAAAACCACATCTATAATATTACTCCACTTAATTTACAAATGACTTCCTGCATTTTTCAACTAATTTCTTTCTTTTCAAGTGACTCATTAAAAAAAAAAAAAAAAACTAAATTCACATGTATTTTACAGTATGTGTCCCCAGTCATGAAACATTAATGTCATGACAAAAGATAATTATGGAAATTCAATATCCATCGCATCGTAGAACTATTATGTACGTGTACTTGGTATTAGCAATGGTATAATCGGCTTTCACCGCAAGATTTTGTTTTCCATCTCACTCACATGAGAGCACTGAAGCAAACAAATTAAATCGTCCTCCCTGGTGTTACGTTTCTTGCTGCAAATCCAGCATTTTTTGTATTTATCCATCTGCAGCCAGTCGCCAGCAACTGGCGGTTATTTGTTGGGATCCAGTTTCTTTGGTAATTACATCTAAGATCATCTCGGTCCAAGCTAGATTGAATGGTATCATAGTGCGCTGTGGCAAGGGTATTAGTATTGATCGTGTCTGAGGAATAGCATCTCAGTCTTCTTGCATTAGCTGTATGCATGCACTGTACAAAGATCTTTGTCAAAGCCGTGGCCAAGGATACTCTAGTGTAAAATAATTAAAAACTTGTTCACAGGAGCTCTTTTTCGAATAGCTATATGTATACTAAATGTTAGATTTTCTCAGTGATTTTTTTTTTTAACAGTTCTTGAACAGTTCTTTAAAGCCACATTGCACTAGTTTGGCCAGGAGGGCTTAGACCTCCCTGCATGGTCACTGACAGGTGGTTATCTCATTCAATCAGCTCTACATTAACATAAGAAAAAGAGGATCATGGGGGACCAATGGTCACCAGTTAGGCATTGTTTGCTATATAGAGGGCACAAGTAGCTATAAGTAGTGCAGTGGGCTTTAAAGAGTTTATCAGAGCGCTTTTGGAGCTTTCCAGAACCAAATTGCACTCCACTCCTGCACTTTGCTTCTGCACCCCCTCAAAGAATCAGGGCATCATTCATTTAAGAATATGGTGTTGAGACTGAAGCAAACGCTAGATTTAAAGAAAGGATTTTTTTTTTTAAAGGGGAGATACACCCTGGCATCAATTCGGTGTTCATGAAAGTGGACAGTGAGAGAAAGGGATCAGCTTGCACTCTGAATTGTCAGTTACTCTGTCACGATCTAAACGAAGCCAACTCTTTTGCCCCAGAACTCATTAGTAGAAAAAGGTTGTTTTTCTAGCATTATTCATGCTGTAATAGAGCTACCAGTGTCGTTTATTTCATTGAGTACATCAACAAATGGAAGGTCTTTTATTTATAGCCAGACACAAAGAACTTCTTTTGTTTCTCCTACTCCTTATTAAGGGCATGACACAGCGACACATGTCACTAACAGCAGACGCATAGTACTTTAACTTTTTTAATATGCAATAACTGATGAGGAAGCATGACAAGTTATGTAAGGACAGAAAAATTACAGACATACACCTCTTCGTTGACTCATCACATGACGTGTAATCCAGGGTGTTCTTGATCAAGCACCAGTTTGGCAACCGAGAGCTTGGGTTGCCAATTTACATAATTATAGTAACCATTTTTATCATGAGATTTTGTTCTTCTCTTTAAAAAGATACTTTATATTGTCAACCAGGCAACGCAGGGAAAACTTAAAAAGTAGTGTAATTAATTTTAGACGGTCAAAGGCATTATTGCAACAGTAGTTCTGAAATACACTTCTTTGTTTGCAGGAGATCTTTTGAGATTTGCTGTTGTGAATAATAGCTTTATTTTAGACAGGGTTTTGGTTTTGATTTGATACATTTATTGCAACCAGAGCTTTTTCAGAGCCTACCAATGCAAAAGAAAGTGCTCACATTTCCCATGTATTTTTTTTCCACTGCTCTATTTTTATGTCTTGTCCCCAACGGTTGTGGATAATAGTAACTACAATCATTGTAAAGAGACTTCTTCATTCACAGGAGCTCTTTTGCCTTTTGGGATGTACTTATGATAGGAAATGGAAATCATCTCTTGACAATTGTAATGTATGGGGAGGGGGTGGGGGAGGTGGTTCAGCAGAGCTTCTAATTTCTAATTGAATTGTTTATATCCTCTCTTTCTGTGTCAGTCATTACACAGACATCATAGCAAAACTTATAACATTTTCTTCTGAAATTAAATGTATTTTCTTTCTCTTTCTTTGACCATCTTTGCAGAAGATGGATGAATCAGATGTGGTGGTTGATCAGGGGAACTATCACAGTCTGAGGGAAGCTGATGAAAGTGAAATATCAGGTGAGAATCATATCAATGCTTGCTTCTTTCAAAGCATTTAAAGAGCGCAAATAACCAGCGAAATAATTTGTGTATAACTAGAATGGGTAACTAGAAATGCAATCGTGTCACAACGATGTGCGTGCAATGACGCCATGTTTCTACGTGTCAAACGAAAGAGCTTCTCTCGTCCTATCCAGAGCAATTTGTACGAAGTCTGTAGCTTCTGTGAAATTGGAGATAGGTAGGGCGAAAGAAAGGCCTCAACAGTGACCTTGATGGGATGGTAGTGACTATGCCTACGAAGTTTGAAAGAAATTGGGAAAGGACGTAGTAAGGGCTCGCAAGCACTGCGTGCAAAAACCAAGGGGATTTGGTGCATGTTCGTCATTGCAATAAAAATCGTTCTGGGGGTCAAAAGCGTGAACCCAATATGCCCCATAGACAATGCGTGTAATGCATGAGCGGAAAACGTACAGGATCTGTATTATGACCAGAGTTAAATTGTTTTTTCTCTCTCTCTTTATGTCTCTTTATGGGCCGTATTTGGTATCATTAGAAAGAAAATTTCATAATTGTTATTGTAAACCACTCTTTTTTCTTCTATGATAATCCTATCGAAACACGTGATGTACAATAGATTTATAGGACAAAATGGCGTCTCAAATGGCCCCATTGACCAATTCTAAAAATCCGGCCATGAGGTGCCCTGCGTATTGGAACTCGGCATGTCACTGCAAATTTTCAAGGAAAAAAAAGGACGTTTAAGGGGCGAAAAGCAGTCTGAAAAAATGACGTCATAGCCGATACGTGTTAGATTCGGGCGGAAACTCGGCGGAATTTGTGTAGTGACCTTTGTTCAAATGCGATTTATTCACAGTTTTCTGTGTTAACATATACTATACTTGGTATCATGCAAAAGGGCACTTCATTGCGGTCAGTATGACACCATTGTTATCTTCGCGCAATGTATTGCACGCATTAAACGCACTATTACGTAATGCATAGTAAATTCATCATTTTTGGCGATAACTTTGCGCTGACATATTCGAATTTTACCAAACTTGGCGGACAGTTGTCACGTATATGGATACATATGTCTGCCAAGTTTCATTGATGTAGGTATAAAGATCGCTAATTTAGAGCAATTTGAAGTTATTTCTCAATTTTCTTGAAAATGGCGAATTTGGAGGGCTTTTTTCGCAAAGTCGGTCAGTGTTAGGGTATATAATTTTGTATATGGCTTGAAAGGGCATGTCTTCAAGTATCTAAATCCAAAAAAGGGTACGGGTTTGCCAAGCCATAATGGAGATACGGCCACAGAAAGAAAGCCAATTCCCAGAACTTTAGAGGGCGCTATTTATGTTTTGCAAAGCCATTGGAGTGTGAAATTTGGCATGGCTATGTGCAATTATGAGATAAAGATACTGTGTGATTTAAATACAAAACAGAATTTATATGAGAAAGTTATGGCAGTTTTAGATTATTTAGGGGTCAATTTTTCAAGAATTTAAGATATTTTTGACGGAGTCGGTTTCAGATTTAAATTTTGAGTACGAAAATGGCATTTTGAAGGGCAGGTTATACGTCGCAGATTAAAGAACATCTCTTAGACTATCTAGAGGACTTTGTTAGAAGATTGTAGGATCTAGGATACTGGAGATAGGAAGGAAGAAAGAAAGGCCTTAAAATGGACCGGAAACGGACAAAATGGCGCCTGGACGGTTATGCATGAGTGATTTCGAGAATCGAAGAATGTAGTGACCTTGAAGAGATATTAGAGACTATGCCTATGAAATTTGAAAGGAAACGGACATGAGAAAAGGGCATAATTAGTGATAACAAGCACTACGTGCAAAACGAATGGGATTTTCGGACGATAAGGAAAAGGAGGAAAAGGAGAATATTAATGGGGCAGAATGTGAACGAAAACAAGGCAATGACGAAGGTCGTCATTGCAAAAAGACGTTTGAAAAATCTTTACTTGGTAATCTAAAGGATAATGGTTAAGGAGTATGAAGAAAGTGAAGGATGACATAAATCCTGCCCACAGAACCCGAACAAAAAGACCAAACACCTTTGACTTGCCCATTTGCTCTTGAAAGGTACCGGGTCTATAATTTCCGTTGGCCAATCTTTCAATATCAATATCACATTTGGGTGTGGCTCCATGTAAAGTTAAGCATTGCATCATGACAGGATCTCTATAATTATGCACACAAACTTGTTTGATCTATTTTGAGAAATGCTTTCGATAGTACCATGTGTGAAAGGGTTTGTGCGTGATGTTAACGTGTATGCAGTGGTAGGCATATTCTATCAGCTAGGTGGTTCATCAGACAGATACAGTCTGGTGGTGGTCATGCTCTATTAGATATGTAGTTCATCAGACAGATAGTCTGGTGATGGGATAGCTCTATCAGATAGATGGTTCGTCTGACAGATACATTAGATAGTCTAATGTTTGGTTAGGGGAGGATGCTGTAGGCTAATGGAGGAGAAGATGGAGTGGGATTAAAAGTTGCAAAAGTAGCTGCGAGCAAAAATCATCAATTTTCTTACATTCCCGTGTTTCGTTGTTTTTTGTTACAACTACCGGCATGTAACCGATGGTCTCAAATGAAAGACTACATGGCCTTCACTCCGTTGGTGCAACCAGAGACTGCCAAGACTAGGCTAGACTAGGCTCGAAGCTTCATGGCAGTTTATGTTAAGTTTTAATGTAAAATGTTTGCTGTTTGCTAGCCAGATACAATTCCTAGCATTCCACTAATGGACAGATGATTGTTACTACTCCCTGAGCCCCACCCTACTCAATAGGTATATCTTCTTCAGCTCGAGATTGCCAAATAGCCCGCTATTTCTGATTTGGGAAATAAGCCCAAAGTAAGAAATCACGTCTTCATCAGCTCGAGACTCGACCTGGAAACTTGAAATTCAAGCTCAAAAAATTAGCTTGAGATACATTTATTTTGCTCAGTGTTTGCACATAGTGGGAGTCTTCGGGCTGGTGAAGACGCACTGAACAAATAGCTGGATATTTTGAAAACTAGCCCAAGATATCTTTGGATGATTATCTCAACCAAATATCCCGCTAATTACAACTGTGGGTTGATGGAGATGCAAATTACTTGTCGCTGGATAGTTTGCGATCGGGATAGTTAAAATAGCGGGTTATTTGGCAATCTTGAGCTGACAAAGACAGGCCTAGTGTTATAGGAAGTCAACTAGGGCCACATCAGTGTGGATGGGAGCCTGATGACCATGATGATGCCTAATTAAGAGCATGAGGATAGTGCCGTTGTCAGGATATTGTTTATTGAAAAGGAAGCCTTAAAATGACCATGGTCAGTTAGATCACCAATATTGAGGTAAATAAGATTAAAATAGAAAGTATGACATTGAAATGAAGGATAGTAGACAGGAATAGAAGACTATTTGTCCTGATTTTGATTTGCCTTTTGAGTGGGTAACATATTCTTTAGAGAGAAGCCAGCTCATCCCTTTATCCGATCATTCAGGCGTAGTTTATGAGCAAGAAGGATAAGAATGTAAGAAAGGAAAGCAAGCGGATTAAACAAAATATATGTACTGGCAGACACTTCTTAAAATGAGATCAAGTAAAGATTCTATCCGGATGTTTTTGTATTAACAATATGTTTAGGCTAATACCACTTTTTTCATTATGAGAACTAAAGCTTGAGGAAGAATTAAGTCTGCAAATTTTCCATACCAAAGGTGATTTACTGAATAAATTATCTTAAAGGGATCCGGTAACTTTGTGTCAGATTCTGAAACAAACTCCTGGATTTAGCTCATGCTTCAAGGATAATTATAAATCTTTAGTTCAGTCAGGAACCCCACGACTTTTACAAGCCAATTGCCAGTCTGATTATCAAGATATTTATGATTGAAATTAGAAATTTCATTTTGCTTTTTCCTACCTGTTTTCATAACACTACAGTCTATCGGGGAAATAGAGTATGGTAAAACCGGTCACTCAATTTTAAAAAACTTTTTTGAGGCACTTCATGATCATTTTGAAGCGCAATTTTTTTAGGGCTTCAATACTACACCATATCACAGACACTGATATAAACATGTAGGGCTGTGCATCTCAGATTTAACATTGTTAAACGATGCCTTTAATGTGTAAGAATCATTGAACTCCTGTTAGTCATAGAGTCTGACACCGAGTCCAAGGAGCGGAAATTCATTTTAAAAGGTCCAAGGGTTGAGACTTGGCTCATTGTCTTCATCCAGTCATTGTCTTAAAGGATCAAGATTTTAATCCACTCTTAAAGCATGAATCGTTTCTGGAGGTCAAAGATATTAACTCACCTCCATGCGTGTGTTCCCACATGTGATTTTTGTCTATCCATTATTAAGAGGTTACCTCAGGACCCTATCATGAGCTATTTTCATGTCGTTTTCGTTCTGATTGTGTATTGTCTTTTCACTCTTGATTTAAAAGTAACATTAGTAAGATGTGATGTTAGATCTCATTTAATTTAATTTATTTATTTCATTCTCCATAAAAAAAACATAAAACATGACATACATGTACATGATATACAGCTAAAAGATTGATTGCAAGAAAAATACAAAGGGAAGGAGCAAACAAAATTTTATGGAAATGTGGAGTTAGCAAAAAGGGCAATTAGCGTTATGAACGTCAACCCCTTAAAAAGTATACGCTGTATTGGTGAGAAAAGAAAAAAAGAACAGAAAAACAGAGAAAAGGGGGAAGGAAGAAGGGAAGGGGAATACATTACCAAGTGCATTTACTGAAATGATTAGAAGGTGAATGAACTTTCACCCAATGTGATGATCCAGATTTGACAATGATATTTCTTTAGTTCCTTTATTTATGACAAGGATGTTTTCATTTATATTAATAAGATCAATTAGCTATGATTATTTTAATTTAAAATGAATGTTATACAAAGTACAGGATGAGCACAAGATATTTGGAGGTGCAGGTTGTAATTGTAATTATAATTGTTTAGAGTTTTTAGGCA